AAAAAGAAAGAAATGAGATAAGCCCTCTTAGCAAACCTATCCCATACAGCAGAGCTTTCCAGCGCTGGCGAGCTGTCCTGGCTAGCCCTGTAGTAAGTACTATGGCTAACCTCACTATCAGTCCAACGGCAGGAAGGGGCATTGTAATCTCTATCTCCAAATGCCCCCTGTAGAGCATGTTTAACTGTTGACTGTGGAATTTGGGGCTGGGACCTAAAGGAGGTTTACGGATGACAGACAGTCCGTGTGGAATGTTACAGACAACAGTCCGTGTGGAAAGTTAGAGCTCACAGTCAACACAAGCTGCAAAGGATTTCTTTTCAAGGTGGGGTTCCCTTTGGGTGTCAGCCAGAACCAGACATGTACTATTAAAGAATGTTTTCCTTTTCTCCTGAGAATTTGGAATAGATTCTCATGGCTGGGGGTGGGGGGGCTTAACCTACTCCTTCAACTGGATGGCGACTTGTACCCTGGTCCTATTCTCACCTTCCATTTCTCTCATCCCTTCAGATGTCCGCTCCTTACACTGGACTCTACCTCAGAAAGAACCACCCGAGGCATCCCCTTCCTAGCAACCCTATGTATTCTCTCCGGACTTGGAACAGGGGCTGCAGGGCTAACCATCTCTGACACCAGTTGTGATGGCTAGTTTTATGCCAACTTGACCCGAAGTAGAGTCACTGGAAAGGAGGAACTGAGAAAATGAGGCATAAGACCAGGTTGTAGGCAAGCCTGTAGGGTATTTTCTTAATTAGTGATTGATATGGGAAGGCACAGCCCATTGTGGGTGGGGCCACTCCTGGGCAAGTGATCCTGGGTTCTATAAAGAAAGCAGGCTGAACAAGCTATGGGGAGCAAAGTAGTAAGCAACTCCTCTGTGGCCTCTGCATCAGCTTCTGTAAGAGGTCCCCAGACCTTAGCACAACTGACTCCATGATGCAAGTAGCATTCGGGCTGTAAAACTCAGCAAGCAGACAGCACCACCCGCTAAAACTAAAACAAAGGCCTAATTCATCAAATTCCATAGTTCTGGGGAGGTCTCTAAGTGTACTAACCTTGCCTTTTGGCTTCAGTAGTTCTGCTTCTGGCTACCTATTCTTGTTAACTGAAGTATGTTAACTTAGAATATGGTTTTTGTGCTTAAAAGTTCACCCTGAGAAAGTGCTAAACTGGGATCCCGAACACCTGGTGCAGTTGCTGGCGAATAAAGACTTTCTAGTGGCTTAAACCCATGTCTGAGCAGTCTTCTCTGGTGAGTACCCCACAATGTTCTTGCCTCCAGGTTCCTGGCCTGTTTGAGTTCCTGTCCTGTCTTCCTTCCATGATAAACGGTAAAGTGGAAGTATAAGCCAAATAAGCCCTTCCCTCACAAAGTTGCTTTGGTCATGAAGTTTTATCACAGCAATAGTGACCCTAATGAGGGCAGAAACTGGTACCCGGAGTGGGGCATGGCTGTGATAGACCTGATGATATGTTTTGGGGAGATTATGGAAGGACTTTGGATCTTTGGATGAGAAAAGCTGCTGAGCGTTCAAAGCTTGGGGAGCAAGCCACTAAGCTGCATCGCTCCATGGCTTCTGCATCAGCTCCTGCCTCCGGGTTCCTGCCCTGCTTGAGTTCCTGTCCTGACTTTCTTTGATGAGGGACTATGATGTGAAAGTGTAAGCCAAATAAAACCCTTTCCTCCCCAGCTTGCTTTTGATCATGGTCTTTCATCACAGCAATAGAAACGGTAACTAAGACACCAGTTTACTTCCCTATCAAGTCATTTATCAGAAAGCCTCAAAGAAATTTCAGATCAACACAATTCAAGATCAGCTTGACTCTTCAGCTGCTGTGGGACTCCAAAATCCAAGAGGTCTGGACCTTCTGACTTTGGCTCCTGGAGATGTCTACACCTTCCTCCAGGAACAATGCTGCTTCTAAAATTGAAGGGAGCCGGGTGGTGGTGGCGCACGCCTTTAATCCCAGCACTCGGGAGGCAGAGGCAGGCGAGTCTCTGTGAGTTCAAGGCCAGCCTGGGCTACCAAGTGAGTCCCAGGAAAGGCGCAAAGCTACACAGAGAAACCCTGTCTCGAAAAACCAAATAAATAAATAAATAAAATAAAAAATAAAATAAAATTGAAGGGCAAGTCCTCTCTTCAGTATGAACTTTTGGCTCCCTCCCCTCATGGCTCCTCCCCTTACTCAACCCCGTTCTCCTTGTTATCCTCATACTTACCTCACCTACTCTCTCCTCAGAACTTCCCACTGACAAACCAAAGTTTAATGCTACTAGGGTTCACCCCGTGGAAACAAGTTTACTAGGCTTACTTATAGCTCATGGGTGACCCCCAAAGCATTGGTGAGGACTTTCCCATAGATGGCTGGAGTTCAATTAAATATATATTAAATACACATATTTAATTACATATAATTATATGTATATATTCCTACCAACTCCCAGTCCCCAATCCTCTGAAGCCATGTGCAATTAGGGCACAACTATACACAGGTGGCTGGGTGGAGGTGACTGGAAATCACAGGTGAAGGTCCGGTGACCCTCCCCGGCCACTCCTTTACGAGAGAACGCCAGCAGTCAACAAGGCCTATCGTGATGGACTCTTACAAACAGGCACAGGTGATCTGGTAAACATGACAGCTGTCCTGCTCAGAGGGCTGTATTCTACAACATTCTGGGGTAGAAGTACACCCCGGTGTGAAGAGAGGGGGCAGAGGGCATGCTGTCATACAAGGCGCTCGGAGTGGAGTCACCGGGGACTCCTGGTTTTATGTAGGCTCTGGGAGAAGCTGGGAGGGTGCTCTCAGCACCCCTGTAAGAGAGCAACACTGGACCAGTTCTGTTCTGGGTCTGTCACCTTACTAGTCCTCTCCGGGCCACCCCTTCTCTCCTGAGTAATTTGCTTCACAGTAGCAAAGTTGTCCCCCCCGGCCCCCAAACAGGTTTGTGCCTGCCTAAATCTCTCAAACTGTCATCCATAAGCTGGGGAAACAGAAGAACACAAGGAAAGAGTGTGGCTGCTGAATGGATCACTCTGAATCCTGTGGGAATGCTTGATGGAGGCAAGGTTGGGCTAGAGAGAGCGAGCCTGTGCAGTTACGAGTACTTGCTGTTCTTCTAGAGGACCTGAGTCCTGTTCCAAACTCCCATGTCAGATGTCTCTCAACTGACCATGACTCCAGCTCTAGGGGACCTGGCCTCTTCTGGTCTCCACAGGCACAAGGCCATAGATAGAGGTAAATACATTTAAAACCCATTCACAAGGCCGGGTGTGTTGGTGCAGATCTTTAATCCCAGCACTCAGAGGGTAGAGGCAGATGGTTTTATGAGGCCATCCTGGTCTACATAGTGAGTTCCAGGACAGCCAGGGCTACATAGTGAGATGTTGTCTCAAAACAACAACAAAAGTCACCCACAAGTTGGGGGCTTTAAAAGCACTGCTCTTGAAGAGGGCCTGGGTTCAATTCCCAGCACCTACATGTGTCTCAGACTCATCTTCTGGCCTCCAGCAGGCACAGGCATGCTCACGGTGCTTAGACACATGCAGGCAAAATATTCACGCACATAAAATAAATCTCAAAACAAAATTTTGTAGGTCAGATGATGAGGATGAGTGGTTAGTTACTACCCACAAGTCTCTGTGCTTGGAGGGTTTTTTGTTTGTTTCTTGAGACAGGAGGGTTTTCTGTGTTATTGCCCTGGCTGTCTTGGAACTTGCTCTATAGACCAGGCTGGCCTCCAACTCACAGAGATCCTCCTGCCTCTGTCTGCTGAGTGCTGAGATTAAAGGCATGCACCACCACTGGAGACCTGAAAGATTCGAGGTCCTATTTGGAGCCAAGCCTGGTAGCTAGAGATTGTATCCTACACTGTGGATGATTTAGTCTTTTTTAAATTTTTATTTATTTAACTTTTTTTTCTGAGACAAAGTTTTCTGTGTAGTTTGTGTGGCCGTGGCTGTCCTGGAACTCACTCTGTAGACCACACTGTCCTCGAACTCACAGAGAGCTGCATGCCTCTGCCTCCCAAATGCTGGGATTAAAGCAGGCACCACCACACCTGGATGCAAAAAAAAAAATTTTTTTTGAGATTTTATGTGTATGAGAGTTGTGCTTGTATGTATATATGTATACACAGGATGTGCATGCCTGGTGCCTGAGGATGCCAGAAGAGGACATAGGATCCTCTGGAATTGGAGTTACAGATGATTGTTAGAACCTGGGTCCTCTGAAAGAGGAGCAAGTGCTCTTAACCACTGAGATATATCTCCAGGGGCCCTCCTCCAGGTCCACTTTCTTTCTTTTCTTTTTTATTTTTATTTTATTATTATTATTATTTTTAATCCGAGATAGGGTCTCTCTGTGTAGCCCTGGCTGTCCTGGAACTCACTCTGTAGACCAGGCTGGCCTCAGACTCACAGAGATCCACCTGCCTCCCATCCCCACTTCTCTTCTTATAAACAGGTTTCATGTCTGGGTGTCTGGCTCCCTTGAGCCTTTTACTCAGAGTCCTTTGTTCGAGAAGCTTGTCTGACCAGGTGTGATCACTGTCCTGGAATTCCTGAAATGTTTAAACACTCCAGATTGCTAAGCCTGCATCCCTCTCTGCTCTCTCTCCTGGATTTCTAAATTAGCCAGTTGGGAATAGACTATAAAGTTGAGCCTCATTAAGGAACAGCCAAGCTCCCCCTTGAGTTAGGAATAAAAAAAAACAAA